TGAGATTGAGTCTTGCTGTCACCCAGGCTGGAGTGCAATGGCGTGATCTTGGCTCACTGCAGCCCTCACCTCCTGGGTTCAAACAGTTCTTGTGTCTCAGCCTCCCGAGTAGCCGGGACCTCAGGCATGCGTCATCATGACCGGCTAATTTTTGTATTTTTAGTGGAGATGGGCCAGGCTGTTGGCCTGGCTGGTCTCGATCTCCTGACCTCAGATAATCCCCCCACCTCAGCCTCCCAAAGTGCTGGGATTACAGGTATGAGGCACCACACCCGGTCAATGTGTGGTTTTTTTAAGGACATATTCCTAGATGTGGAATTTCTGGCTTAAAGAGCAGGAGTATTTTAAAATCAAAACACTGTATTATGTTCAGCCTTAAAAAGGAAGGAAATCCTGTTATGTGTTACAATGCAGATGAAACTTGAGGACATTGTGCTGGTCACAAAAAGTGAAATAAACCAGTCACAGCAAGACAAATACTGCATGATTCCATGTATAAGGGGTAACTAGAGCAGTGCAATTCATAGAGAGAGAGAGAGAGAGAGAGTAGATTGCTGGCTGCCAAGGACTTCAGGGAGGGAGAAACAGGGTGGGGTTCATGAGTGTAGAGTTGCAGATTTGTAAAATGAAAAAGTTCTGAGATTTGCTTCATGATATAAATATACTTCACTATTGAACTGTATACTCAAAAATGGTTAAGATGATAAAGTTTATGGGTTTTTTTCCTTACCATAATTTAAAACTCAGATTGTGTGTTTGCTTGTTTGCTTTAGGTTTTTTTTTGAGACAGGGTCTTGCTCTGTTGCCCAGGGCTGGAGTGCAGTGACATGATCACAACTCACTGCAGCCTCCACCTTCCAGGCTCAAGTGATCCTCCTGCTTCAGCCTCTCAAGTAGCTGGGACTATAGGCACACACCACCGTTCCTGGCTGCTTTTTTTGGATTTTTTTTTTTTTTTTTTTTTGTAGAGACAAGGTCTCCTTGTGTTGCCCAAACTGGTCTGAATTCCTGGCCTCAAGCAATCCTCTGGCCTCAGCCTCCCAAAGTGCTGGGGTGACAGGCAGACACCACCATGCCCAACCCTATTTTATTATTTAATGGTAAAACAATATTAAGATAAACTTTAAATAGGAAAATATTTTAAGAACTCACCTCTAATACCAATCTGTTGACAGATTACTTCTTTCTTTTTTTGTTCTCTTCCAGGCCTTCCAGGCCTGGTCCAGAGATACGGCTGTTTCATGTAATTAAAATCATATTTCATTTTCTTTAAACTTTTTTTTTTTTTAATGAAATGGAGTCTCGTTCTGTCATCCAGGCTGGAGTGCAGTGGCGTGATCTTGGCTCACTGCAACCTCCACCTCCTGAGTTCAAGTGATTCGCCTGCCTTAGCCTTCTGAGTACCTTGGATTATAGGTGTCGGCCACCACACCCAGCTAATTTTTGTATTTTTAGTAGACATGCGGTTTCGCCATGTTGGCCAGGCTGGTCTCAACTCCTGGCCTCAGGTGATCTGCCTGCCTCAGCCTCCCAAAGTGCTAGGATTACAGGCATGAGCCACTGCGCCTGGCCTTTTCTTTACGTTTTCATACGTGTTTGTCCATTGTTGCCATAAAAATCTGCATGGTTCTGCTTTCCATGGCTGTGCGTAGTCGCATCTTGTAATGTTCTGCCGTTGACGTCAGCCTCTCATCAGTGCTTTTCTTCTCCCTCCTGTTGAATTTCAGAGTACATCAAGATGGCAGATCAGTATGTGCCTGTCCCGGGAGGGCCCAATAACAACAACTATGCCAATGTCGAGCTGATTGTGGACATTGCCAAGAGAATCCCCGTGCAGGTAAATGGACCAGGGTGCGCGAGTGTGCCCACAGTGGGATGATGCTTCTGCGTTCTAGAACAGTTCAGTTCCACAGTTCACTAGGGGTAGAGGATCCAGGTTCAAGGCTCCAAATTCCTGGGCTCATATAACACAGAAAAGAGTGTTTTGGTGATGGGAAGCATATTCTTTTTAAAAAAAAATTTTACAGATGGGATCTTGCCATGTTGCCTAGGTTGGTCTTGAATTCCTGGGCTCAAGTGATCCTCCTGCCTCAGCCTCCCAAAGTGCTGGGGTTACAGGCGTCAGTTACTGCACCCTGCTGGGAGGCATATTCTTGAAGGAAGATCGTTGCTCACCCCTTTCTGTGTTTGCAGGCGGTGTGGGCTGGCTGGGGCCATGCTTCTGAAAACCCTAAACTTCCGGAGCTGCTGTGCAAGAATGGAGTTGCTTTCTTAGGTAGAGTGTTCCCCACCAGATACATGGGAATTGGGGCATTGCTGGGACACTCCGTTGGGTCTGACCTTCTTTCTATTCCTGTCCTGAAAAGCGGAGGCCCTTTGATTGCCCACCTCACACTTTCATTGTGAGGAGTGAATGAGTCCCAGGGTGGGAGGGCACACAGCTAATCCACCAAGTCATGGAATTAGGAGCTGCCCACTTTTCAAAGAAAGACACACAGGCAGCCAACAAGCGTATGAAAAAAGCTCACCATCACTGATTATTAGAGAAGGGCAAATCAAGACCACAGGGAGGTACCATTTCTTCCCAGTCAGAATGACTGTTATTAAAAAGTCAAAAAATAACAGATTCTGATGAGATTATGGAGGAAAGGGAACGCTTATACACTGTTGGTGGGAGTGTAAATTAATTCAATCATTGTGGAAAGCGGTATGGCAATTCCTCAAAGAGCCAAAAACAGAACTACAATTTAACCCAGCAATCCTGTTACTGGGTATATATCCAGAGGGATATAAAATCATTCTACCATAAAGACACATGAACACGAATGTTTATTGCAGCACTATTTACAATAGCAAAGGCATGGAATCAACCTAAATACCCATCAGTGACAGATTGGATAAAGAAAATGTGGTACATATACACTGTAGAATACTATGTAGCCATCACAAAGACTGAGATCATGTCTTTTGTGGAACATGGATGGAGCTGGAGGCCATTGTTTTAGAAAACTAATGAAGGAACAGAAAACCAAATATTGCATGTTTTCACTTATAAGTGGGAGCTAAATGATGAGAACACATGGACACAAAGAGGGGAATAGCAGACACTACTTGAGGGTGAAAGGTAGGAGGAGGGAGAAAAGCAGAAAAAATAACTATTGGGTACAAGACTTAGTACCTGGCTGATGAAATAATCTGTACCACAAACCCCCGTGACATGAATTCACCCATATAACAGATTTTCATGTCATTATGTTGATGTCCTTGTGTCATTTAGGGGAATCATTTACTATCATGTAATCCCTGCTGCTCCTTATGTGTGGGTCTGAAAGTAGACTTGCCCAAATGTGAAGCAGCTCAGCACAGGTCAATATCTGATATTCACCTGAGGGTCAGCCAGGCGTCCCATGCCCATTGACGTTTTCTTTGTCTGTGGGCTCTGAGTACATATGGGCATCTGTCCTGTCTGACAATCACCCAGGACTCTCATTATCAGTCTTAATTCCTCTGGAGGTTGATGGTCCAGCCCACCGGACAAACTACAGCTCATAGGCCAAATCTGGCCCATGGCTTGCCTTTGTAAATAAAGTTTTATTAAAACACAGTCATGCTCATTCATTTATGTATTGCCTATGGCTGCTTTCTCCCTACACTGGCAAAGTTGAGTCATTGTGACAGAGACCTGCAGGTTTGCAAAACTGAAAATATTTCCCATCTGACACTTTATAGAGAGGGTTTGCTAACCTACGGTCCAGCTCTGAGCTGCTAGCTGACCTCTTTGATCTAGCTTTCTGCCTTCCCTCCAAAGTGAATTTTTTATATGCCACTGTAGCCTGGGTTGTAACTCACAACAGGTTTACGGTCCACATATATTGAAAGTTTGACTGATGCAATAGCACACTAAACAGATTTTTTTTTTTTCTTCGCTGATGTGAGGTTCAGCTCCATGAGAGCTGGGACCTGAGAACTTTTCTCTGTCATCTGCTCCTCACTTGGCCCCACCACCGTGCATTTGGTCAGCACTCAGCCCCAAGGGTCGTGTGGCTGACCCGATTCTGCTTCCCTTCTTGTCCCCAACTCCTCAGGCCCTCCCAGTGAGGCCATGTGGGCCTTAGGAGATAAGATCGCCTCCACCATCGTGGCCCAGACTCTGCAGATCCCAACCCTGCCCTGGAGCGGAAGTGGTAAGGGACCCTGAGTTTCCCTCTGGGGGAGCTTCTCAGCCCAGTCTTGGTAATGTGGGTAGTTGGAGTGTCAGAAGTATGCTTGTAACAATTCTTTCCCTTACAAATGTTATTTACTTTTTTATTTTTCCTAATGACCCACTAGCAAAATATTTTAAAATTTTAAATTAGTAAACAAGTGGTACAATTTATTGTAGGCAATTTAGAAAATATTAAGAGGTTCAAAAAAGAAATGGAAATCATTCATAATCCTGTGAATGTGTTGAATCCAGTGTTGAACATTTATTACATTGTAGGTATCTACCTTTCCAACCTTTTTCTAGGTATATTCTTAAAAA